ACACAGCGATGCCAGCTCCGGATGGTTTTGAATCGACTTGACCCCGGACCATTATGTGTGCAGAAGATACTAGGACCTTGGGCATCTGCCTCAGTTGCGCAGAAAGCAACTAAAGCACTGCTACTTTACCTTAAGTCAACAAACCTGAGCGACCGCCTGTAGACTGTGTGTGCTCCCCGAGTGTGCTCGTGATTGTGTGTACCTTCTCATCTTTCTGCAACCTCTTTTCTCCCTTTATCCCTTCCCCAGTGCAGGGTAGCAAACCGGATGTGCGTCTGGTTAACCTCCCTGCCTTTCCTTGCATCTTTATCTCTCTCTCTCTCTCTCTCTCTCTCCTGTCACTTAGAAGTGTGGCAGCTTGGGCTAGTTGGTATGGCATGACGATAGTTATAGCGCGAAAACAAAACGACGTCTGTGTCGACGTCTGTGTCGTCGTTTTGTTCTCGCGCTATAACTATCGGCTCCTGTCACCTTCCGCAAGCCGGTCTTCGCTGCCGTGATACTACGACCATTGTGACCGTTGGATGCTTCATAGTAGATTGCACAAGACAGCGCTTCGTTTCACACACAAGGTCGGCCTAACGGTGCACACGTAATGCACATATACACACAAAATGTTATTCCATAAAAGCAAATATATATCACACAAAAACGTTTATTCGCCCGTCTTTCGTAGCGCGCCCTTCGAAGCAGCTTTCTCTGCATTATGAGTCATGCTGTGAAGAAGCCAACTCAACAAACATAAAGGGTACAGCAGGTTTTTTTAATCGGTTTCACCGTCACCGTTTGGGCCTGCATAAAACAAGTGAAACTTTAAGAGAGAATATCACGGCAGAAAATACCTAGATATGCATGTTAGGTCACACTCACAATCCAATAAATCTTCAATAAAGATGAAGCATTCTATAGCACTGATGCCTTTTCAATATAATTACGTGTAGTTTGAGGGGATCATGCCGAATATGTTTCACAGCACGCAAGACGAAGACGAACGAAGGGCACACATAGCGCTGACGACCGTATTTAGATAGCAACGCATAGCATACTAACAGCACTAGCTAATACACAAGTCACATTGTCGACTATCTATTGCCATATCAATACCATAAAATTACATCTTTACTTCTTACTAAGTTTTCTGCCTATTTCCATTAACTGGGTCACGTGCTATAACGATTCTCCGCAAGACCCGTCACCACATTTTTTTCTAGGCGCGAAGCGCCTTATGGTCTAGGGCAGTTCCGCGTCCCTCCGACGTAGCCAGCACAACATATCCACAGACAGACAGACAGACAGACAGACAGACAGACAGACAGACAGACAGACAGACAGACAGACAGACAGACAGACAGACAGACAGACAGACAGACAGACACACACACACACACATAGACAGACAGACAGACAGACAGACAGACAGACAGACAGACAGACAGACAGACAGACAGACAGACAGACAGACAGACAGACAGACAGACAGACAGACAGACAGACAGACAGACAGATACTTCGGTCCACTCACCATCCTTCACGCCATGGATATGCTGTGATTTTTTTTTATTTGCAGATAGAAAGCGGGAGTAAAGAGTGACTGCTGTTGCAAAATCAAAGCATGAAGTTTTTCTTCCTCAAAAACAGTCAACATACACTTGAAACGCGGGCTCCCTACTGATCGGCGAAATGGAAATGATGAAATGGTTGAAGTCTTCCTGTCTCGCATGGTGCAAAGTTCAAGTTGCCGCTTATAAAAAAAACGTTAGTCGTTTTGGAAATTTTGGTGCTTTTAAAAGCACGAGCTGTGCAACTAGTAATATTTCTATTAGAATTTTTCGATTTGCAGTTCCATTAGTGTTACAATACAATTATAATTATTGTGCAGCCACATAGAGCTACAGTTTTAGTCTGAATGGTGAAGAACTTCTGCAGTATGCATAATTAACCGGCAAAACCAACTCGGAGATCTTAAGTAAAAAGCACACTAACCACACACATCAAAACACACCTATGCAATTCATCATTAGGCTATTGGTTGAGTGCCATAATACCGGTGTCACACGGGCACTTTTAATTGCATTCAGGGTGATCCGGATGTGTTTTCTTCATCGCGATGAACTTTATAGCCGCTGCTACACGACCCAAGCTAATCCGGTTCGAGTTTATCAGCAATGTTATTCGTGCGAGAACCACTCGAACGCCAAAAACTTTACGTTCCACTGCAAAAATAATTCCAAAAATCCATCATTCAATAAAGTTTTCTTTTTTTTCTTTTAGCTTACCTGTATTGCTGTGCGAGATTCTCGATCTTCTTTTTCTGATGGCACCTGCTCGTAGCCGTCGAGTTGCAGGAAAGCGGCGATATCGATTGCTGTACACGCCAGAATTTCACTTACGGCGCCTCAAGTCTCCCAGTCGCTCCTGCCAGCGGTCATTTACTGTAAAGGCCTCTTCATTTGGCCACAAAGTGCGCCTAAGCTGCGACGTAGTCAGAAAGCTGGCAACACTCGAAGTGCTCCAACAGTTTCGACGGTGCGAGAGTCGCGTGAAACTAAGCGCGGAAGACAACGGTCGTCTGCTTCGATCTACATGTGGTGAATACGATTTTAGTATATGTGATAGTCAAGATATTGTTCCAATTTAAACAGTTTACAACTTCTCTTTTTAAATAAAATTCTGGCTTATTTAATGTATTTTTCTTATCTATGCTCGATTTTCCCTTGTTTTTTTATTTCGCGTTTCAGTTTCGTCACAGACATGGGGAGAAATTTCTCAATTCACAGTTATTACTAGAGGCCGCTTTTCTAAAACCTCAAAGCACCAATCAATCGGTTTTTTGCACGAGGGACTTCAATTCTTCCTTTTGACTTAACTGCCTAACTCCACAAATTTAAAAGTTAGTTACTTTACTCTGCTAACCACCGTTTCAAGTATTATCCTCAACCATCTTCAAATATTATCTTCAACAGTAACTTTACTAAATTGCAACCTCTCAGCAAGATCACGATGCGCGGATCGGGATAGTGTTAATACCATTCGGGCCTGATAAGGATTAGCACCCGGATCATAGTTAATCCGAATAAGCACTGATCGCGATTAAAAATGCCCGTGTGACACTGGTGTTAGATACATATTTGCATAACTACAAAGAGGTTTAGAACAGTATGCTAAAAGAAGAGGGAAAGGGTCAGGTGCCTGGCATAGTGATTTGTCACGGCTGAAAGGTAATTTAGACCACTCTGTGTTCTATGTTGTGCACTTAAGTATGCACGTTTTCTTGCATTTCATATACTAATACTAATGTTGCTGCTGTAATTGAGAATCGATCCTATGAACAGCAAGCTCAAGATCCTGCACAGCAAGCTAAAAAAAAAAAAGACTTCCGTTTTTAAGTGAGGCAATTTTCCACAAAAAGGGTCACAAGCAATCCTGCATGTGCTAGATTCTACCGACGACAAGGTCTCCCAAGCTTGCCCTCTCACATTTTACCAGTAGGTAATCAAAGTGAACTATTGGGACAGTTCGTGATTCAGGACCTAGATTTTTTAATTGCAAACTTTTCTTGTTCTTTGTCACTTCCCGTTTTCATTGTGCATATAAGGTTTGTGAAGAATAAACATTCAATGGGTAGTTTGCGGTTTGTCCCTGTCAGCCTGTTGCCCTTGTTTTTGTCTGGGCTAGTACACCTCAATTAACATTAGGTACCCGACACAAGTACTGATCTGCCTCCCAGGACAGTGGTGGATGTTCTATTTTTTTACTTGCCTTGGTAGTAGAAAGGACAGCTAGAGTGAATTTAACACCAGCCATCAAGATGTGAACTGTTGGTTTGTTTCCGAGCGCCTGGCAAAGGATATCACTACTCATTCGAAAATCTTTGCAATTCACTGACGTACGTACCAGTTGAGGTGGCTAATGTCGTGTCTTGGGGAAGATGGAAGCTTGGCAAGATGTCAAATGCTTGCCTCATTACCACACTTGCCCTTTCCTCTTGTGTTCGGTTTGAAAAAGAGTGCATGAAATGCACATACGCACATTATTATAGGCAGTCGACACCTTGAAAAAGACAAGACCACTGGTCAAAACGTAGGCAACAGTTACACCCTGTGGTTACAAATCTCTCGTCTAGGTGTCGTGACATTTGTATGCACGCCTCGCATGTGTCGGCCACACTCAGACTCGCGCAAAAAATATATTTTGTGCTTAAGACTCGCTCTTACTCAGAATCCCCAAAATTTTCCCGAGCCAGACTCACTTGGACTCGCGAAAATTCTGTTGAACTGCACTAGCTCAGACTCGCCCCCCTATTTACAAACGCTCCTCGACTCGACTTTCACCATTCACTTGACAGAGTTGAGCAGTGCGCCACCGCTCGGCTGAAAATGACGCTGCACCACTCAAGAATTGCAGCAGATAATCGCTGATATGGAGTGACTTGCCGTTCTTAGAGATGGCGCTCCCATCAGCTTTCTCAAGTGAAGGTGGAGCGTTGAGTGAAGGGACGTTCTAGAATACGGGGTCAAACTCTACACGAGTGACTCGCGAGCGAGTTCACAGATATACGATGACATGCAATCCAATACCCACTACGAGATGTTCAGTAATATTCTGCTGAACAATACCTTTGCATTTGCTATTCATATTGCATTTATGATCAGCATTAATAAAAAGGTGTAAGTGCATTGCACGAATATTCATTTTATTTCACTGTTGCCTCCTCTGGTTGTTTAAGATTATGTAAATGCACCTACCCACTTGTCCTATGCTTTCTTGTTCTTGAAGGCCTGTTTGCTATTTGTAAACAAGACAAACTAATGAAATAAGATATAGAAGAAAGAGGTTCCTGGCGGAAACTGGATTCACACCCAGTGCCTCCTTCGATAGAGGCAGATCACACTACTGACAGTGAGAGACCATGCTAGGGCACAGCACTGCCAAGATCATCTTTTTCTTCACTCGAACATGAAAAATGAGTAACGCAGATCAACTGACACCGAAAGCAAGACTTGCGTAATAAAATAGATGAAACATTTAATTCGTAAGGACATTAATAATCGGTGAAAATATTTACAAACACTTGGTCAAGAGAGGAAATACTGACTTATGAAGGGTTAAAAAAAAACGCGAATGAGAAAGGTGTAGGTGGTGGGTGGGGGCAAGGGTACATGGCAAAAAGTATCGAGAGAATCACTTCAAAGATAACCTAAATACAAACTTGTAAGGAGAAAAGGAGGGCAGGAGGTGAACTCCAAAATAATTTATTAAGTTGCGGTTATGCACTTCACGACTCGAAGGCCATCCAGTTGGACTCCAGAACGAGTGGGGGAGGGGGAAGGCGAGATGCAACCAGGAGGAAGAGGAGGGAATCTGAACAAACAGCCTTTGAAGCGAGTGTCGAAAACCTCCAGATTCGGCCATGCAATTCGTGACGGGTCAAGTCGTAAAATGCAGCAGGCAACATCGATAAAAAGCGTCCGCATTACCCGCATCGCCTGTGGTGGACGCATCTTTTGTCAATAGTTCGTTCCATGTAATGCCCGCGACAGGAGAACAAGAAAAAAAACAAGGGAGGTGGTTTTTTTTTTTTCTCCGTGTAACACAGGGTTCGTGCCTGTGCTTAAATTTTCTGAAATTTTAGAGACCAGTTGTCAGTTTTAAATTTGGAGTGAGTGAGGGACAACAAGTGGGGAGGCAAGAAAAATTTGTTCACTTCGCAGGAAGAGTCAAAACGGAAGAGAATCACAGTTTGAAGAAAACAGTTTTAGAGACTTGGGAAGAGCCCTTTTGGACGCAACAAGTGTCGCGTGCAGGAAAAGCGAATTCCCACGGTCTAAACAACAACAAATACGAGAGGAGACCCACAGGCTTGTCTCTCGTTCTGCGAGAGTGCAGATTTCTTTCGTTATTCTTTTTCCTGGCTGCCAGCGTCAAGAGTGCAAGTTGCTTCGAGAAACTTGTCTGAGGACTGGAATCGACGAACGAGTTTGTTTGTATGAATATATTAACTAGCTCTTACAATAACATTTTTCTTTTATATACTCGTAAGCAAAGGAGAGGAAAAGACGAAACTAGTTCTGTTCGCTTCCCGTCATCTTTCCTCTCGGCCGCTTGCAAGTGCTTGAACACCAGCGGTCAGTGTGAAACCTCACTCTGAGATAACAACCATATGCAACAATGGCCAACTGCACGAAGCTGCAAAGCGACTTGGGACGGCGGGGGGAAAAAAATGCGGGGAGAAAAACGTCAACAGCTCGGTCATGTACAAACACGCACACTCTGGAATGAAATATCGAAATACCTGCATGTCTTTTCACTCTCGACACACCTGGTACGATTACAGTATACTGCATGCGTACCGTACATCGTATATGAAAACACAGGTTTATGGGACAGTAAGCCTGGTACTGTAAACACACTAGGTATAGGGTATAAGTAAAGATACCAAGCTTATATTATACCGTAAATATATCTACGGTATCTTGAAGCATAGTAGGTATAAGGGGCAGTAAACCTGGCACTGTATATGTTCCAGATATACGATAAATGTACTAGGTTTACGGTATACCCCAATCGTACCGAGTGTGTCAGTATAATGTTTACGGTATATAGCACGTTCAACTGCGCTACCCAGCTTTATGTCGTCAAAATCGGCTATGTGCTTCGTGCAAATAGGGCCACAGCAAAAATGTAAACAAACATTTTCCTGGCTGCTCACAGCGTGCAGGTCTTTTGGAATACTGAGCGAAGCTGAAGGTACAAGTCTGGCTTCCAAAAGCGGTTTCCAAGTGTGCAGAGATCGATTCCGATCGGCGTTATTTGCAGTGCACCCGCTCTGGCACTGCAGAACACGGTGAACAGTTTTTATGGAACACTAAAACATGTCCCTGAACAGTTTAATCATCGCAGCAGCAATGCTAATAACTAATGAAAGAAACTTCTATGCATCCCATTACTGCGAAGGCAGAAGCTGAACGAAATTGCACACGTGCAACTGCATTGGGAGAAACCAATCGCTATTTATGTCAACTTTTTGCAGAGTCCGCAAAGAAGTGCTGCATCAAGCATGTCTCTTGTGTCTACGCCTGGCAGTACAGTATGGATACCTTGTATAAAAAGGTGAAGCAATAGCTTGTTTTTCAACTTTTGCAGTCATGGGCGGACAATGAAGTAACCATGGCGCTCGAAATGTTGCAACTCTGGTCTCGCAGCATGCATGACATCTGGACTCTAAACCAGCGTTGGAAGAATTTGCAAGCATTCCAAGTAACCTGCACACAATGAGTACTCAGCTACGAGAAAAGGCGCTTTTCGGCAAACAGCAGAAAGACGTCGAGGAGCAGAGCTTGGCAGCTGACGGCTCTCGAGCTAGGTGGCACCGTCGAAAAGCCCGCATCCCTTTACAAGTTGTTGAAAAGGATTAACGCTCAACAGGGGCGTCGGCAGTCTTCAGTTTTGTAAAGAAGAAGAAAACATTCACGCACACTCCAACGTCCACAAAAGAGGCCGACAGACACTGCATTTAAATTAGCACATCGGTCTCCTTCCAGTGGCGCTGGAAAGAAAGCAGCCTTACAAAAATAATGAGAGTATTTGTGTGTCACCTTGCGGCAGACACGAGGAGAAAATCCGAACACTCTCCTTTCTTCTCACATGGCCACCTCACTCGCCAGTAGTAGTCCCACAAAAGTGCGAGGCAATATTATATAGTACAAAGTGATTTTTGTTGTCGCTGCTAGCTACCTGCATTTAGGCGTTCCCAAAGCAGCAAGCAGCAGATTTTGGCAGTACTTGCTGGCTTTCTCTCTCTCTCTTTACATTCTCACCGTTTGCGGCAGGGGGAGGGATGAGGGGGCGAGGAGTTAACTTGCGCATCTGCTACACAATTTTTTCTTTGGTATGTCACTGCTAGCGCCATGGCGTTTGCCGTCGTGAGATCCATACCACAGCGTGCAAAACAAAACGCGAGTGTTTTCGTTTCTGCCAAAGGAGAAAGGGTATAAATGAAGAGAAGAAGCAGAAATCAGCAGCGAGACAAGAGATGCGATCCTTCTTGTTCTGCCTCAAGAGGGGAGGTCAAAATAAAGAGTGAAGAGGTGAGGGCTATTTATCTATCTCTCCCTCTTTTCAGCAGGAGAGTTATAGGAGCACAAAGGAAAGGAAAAGAGACACAGGCTACGGAAAATATAAGTGAGACTCCTGTAACCGGGAAGTTCTAACACCGGGAGGCGTCTCATTTACCCATTTGGGTGTAAGGTGGCTGCGTATGTATGCATGCGTGATGAAAGCGGTTTCCACCGCACCACTTGGGGATGCTCTCTGGCAACGCTGCCACGAAGGACTGCACGGCGTGTGCGCGCATCTTTCCTTTGTCACCCCCTAAATTTTTCACACTCATCAAACAATCACTCTAAACAGTATAGTCAATGCATCCACACCAACAGACTGGCACAGCATTCAAGTGTCCACAGAAGGGTCTGTCGTGTCGTAGAGTTCCTCCGCGCACCAGGTTTGCAGTTGTCTTCAACGTGCAAGCTTAGAAACGTTTGCCCCTGCAGGAAAAATCTATTCCTGGAAATGTCAGTTTTTTTTTTGGCACGCCGGACGTTGTGCACCATTGCCTTCTTTGCAGCCTCTCGCCTCAAGCAGTCTTTTTACAAGAACACACTTGGAAGAATGTCAGGCTGACTTGGGACCGTGCAGCAGAGGCATCGTGGCATGAAGGCTTTCGTGAGTAAAGGTGGCAGCGTAGCAGCTTCGCTCCCAGTAAGACTTCTCAATAGCTGCATGGTTGGTCGTTTAGGAGAGCACGTCGAAGTGTCCTCGAGAGTCGGCGCGACTTGCAGGCGCTCGATGAAATGCGAGGACGTGGGGGCAATTTTTATTTTTTTTTTGCTTTCCTCGTCTCTTCCGATTCCCTGTGCTTTTGCAATGAATAGAAAGGCTTATGGTCCTTGTGTGCAAAAAAAGACGGCACTGCACTTGCCGTCGAGACGACGGCGTAAAGCTTGTCCTCCTTGGGTTTTAACTAAGCCAAGACTGTCCTATTTGGGTTTGTGAATGTAACGCAGCACAAGGTATCCCAGTGCGCGGAAGAAGATGAGGAAGCTGATGAGTACCAAGGTGTTGGCCCAAATGGGCAGCGGCGTCCCGTGGTCACCTATGATGTCCTCTACGGGAATGACGCTCCCCCCTGTGTTGCACGCCGTGAAGTGGGAATTTCTCGACAGGCACCTGCAGAGGAAAAATGTGACACTGTGTTCAAGCCAAGGCTAACCACAACCTCGATGCATGGCGCATAAAGCCTACATGAATGATGAAGATGTCCCCAGAAAATAAGTTTACAGCCCTAGTTTCTAAACCACTTTTCTAAGTAATCATTCAATAACCTCATTATTGCAGATTATCGCCTCATGAGCCCATTGCCACATATTTATCGAATCCACCAACAATGAGCAGATTTACACGGTTCTGTCACATTCTTTATGTGCTCACATAAAGCACGTAGAGAATGCTGTTTGTTCGACATGACGAAGGCATGCAATCTGTAAGCAACACGTAAGTGGCCTCGCATGACAGCAGCGGCGGACTTCCGAACGACACCATGACACACCTGTACCGCCATAACTCAATGTGGTTCAAACATGTACTGCCTCGCACATTTCTGCACATGACTGTGATAAGGTTGTCCGCAATGGGTGAAAATGGCACGTTCATCACCACCCGGCGCCTCACCTTGTCTTTTCTGATGCTTAATCATTAAGGCACCACTGCAACCGCGTGGAGATCGTTATGATTGAATGACCAATCTCTGCCATTACCGAAAGGCGGAAGGCCTCTTGCAGCAAGATGTGGAGTTGGTGGGTTGAGGTTTGCAGTGATATTTTATGCGACAAAAAGTTATCACTTCTACGTTTCTAGCACCTATGGTTTTCAGCATTCGAAGGCAAGTGTTTGTCAATTTTCCATGTTCATAGATGCAGAAAACGGTGCCGGAAATGTTTGCTGTGCGAAAGCAGACTAAGTCATCATGCAGTCTCCTTTCTCCTTTTTTTTTCTCTCTCTCTGCTATTCTGCTAATCAAGGAACAATCGGAAAGTGGGGGACATTGGTCGTAGTGTCTGAAATCTGCGTGCGGTGCTTGCCACGGTCTACTATATCTGTTAGGAGCAACTGCAGTGTAGCACTTTCGAGCCTGCACTTTTCACAAGCTATATTTTTACTGCAATCATTTCGGAAGAGTTTGTTGTAAAAGTATGAGGTTTTAAAAAAACGTTCCCTACATGTGGATGCAGTTTCAATGGGTAGCGTAAGAAATTAAGTGCGCCAAAATATGATCATTATAACCAATAGATCATTACATTTGGGATTGTTATGAGTGGGTTTGACTGCACAAAATATTTTGAAAGATCAATATGAGCACATGCTGGAATGAACTTTCTCGAAAATGATAATATCAGAATGTGGACTTGTTGTCTCACTTCATACACGTGTGGCTATGTTCTTTACCCTGCTCACAAAACTAAGCTATGAAACCGAATTCAAATTTTGACATTCTTTTTAGAATTAGGTGCTCACAGTTTATTTGAATTCATTGAAACATGGAATCAATTCGAATTGCCCTTGGTTCGTGTCAAGGATGCATAATAACGCTGCCACGCATTCACACAGCACAACTGTTCGCTGTGGGAAGCCCTGGAACTATGGTATGGACCTCAATTCCAGATATTCAACATCATTCATGCTGTGCATTACCAACCCCTCTCCTAAATGAAGCAAATTAAATTTAGTGGTTTTTAAGTGCCATAACTGCCCCTATGCTATGCTTGACATCACTTGTTAGTTTCGCATGTATCTATCTAAGCGAAATGGGTGTCCCAACAGACACTCCATTCATTGATTGATACGTGGGGGTTGAATGTCCCAAAATCACCAGATGATAATGGGAGATGGCGTAGTGGAGGGCTCCGGAAATTTTGACCACCAGGGGTTCTCTTTAATGCCCCAGAAAGCCACATAAAGTTAATGTAATGCAGCATACTGGCAAAACACTATTTAATTACTCAATTATCACAGACACCAAGATTGATAAATGACAGCAATATGTACCTCAAGTAGGCAATAAACAAACAAGAACCTAAATAGCAACCAACCTGACATCTGGTCCATTGCTGAACTCAACTATGTGCATGTTCTGGAAGGCATAGTGCACCATAGAGAAGTACTGCAGCCACCGTAGCCAGTGTGGCAGCGAGGAGGCATAGTAGCCTCCGAAGAGCATTGTGGAGAGGGAGTACAGTGCCGACACTGTCACAGACACTTGAAGGTCGGTGCAGGTGGCACCGATGAAGAGCCCAACACTCTGGAAACAACACCAGAGGAGAGGAAAAAAAAGTGAATTAGTAAATCCTTGGGCACCGCATAGGTTCGTGCAAAGCTGTATTTACAAGACGAACCAAATCGCGATTCAAGTCTGCGGATTGTGTACTACGTCACCATATGTCCGCAGTTCCCACATTTCCGCTTCGATCAGCGCGGACCCATTTGTAAAACGAATAAAGCCTAAATCGTTGTTGGGATCCTCGGAGAGCAGTGCCGAAATCCTAGCTTCTAGCTTGAATTCTCTCCTGTTGTGCTGGCTGCGGAGGGATCCGATTTACGTCAGATGTCACGCAAATGATCTGTCTGTGATCACGTCCGTCATGTGCATGCAGCTTTAGGGCAACACCTTGTAGAATCACAGAGGTGTAAAGGTCACAATCATATAAAGGTCACACCAGTGTATAAGAGTCACACAACCGATTTGGCACTCCAATATATAGAAGAGAGGTAGCCCAACTGAATGTAACTGAGAAACGAGTTTAAAATGATCTATAGTAAGTGAAGACTTATCTTGCAACAGACAATTCTACGGAATTTCAAAGACATTTACAGTAACAGGCACCTGTAATATCATACATGGCATGAAGGGTAACAGTGCACGAGTGAGAGAGACGGATCACAATATACAGAACTTAGTGGGGCTTGCGCAGCCCCATTGACTTCAATAATTCGAGATTCCCGATAATTCTTATGTAACAGTTACACAAGACGAAAACACGGGCCTCGTCTGGTGATGTGGGGTGCTGGGAACGGCAAGGAAACAAAAGAGGAAGAGGGGTGCGTAACGAAAAACAGTCAGGGAGAGCGACAACCAGAAGGCTACGAAGGCGGGGTCTGCGTTTAACAATAAGAATTGTGGGTACCTCGCTGATGGCATATCAGTCCTCGAAAGTGGTGTCTCGGGCAGTCGCTCGAGTGCTGACTTCGTTCGTTGTAACTGAATGGCAAGGCTTAGAGGGTTTTTAGTAAGTGCAATTTAGTGCTATTGAAATGACCTGCATTTCCATGGTCATGAAGGTATCGTTCGTTTTAAGCAAAAGTTCGTTTTAAGTGGGCCGTTATATGTGGGCTCGACTGTCATCGCTACACCAAAGAACACAGCCAGGCATAACGATTGAGAGCGTTTGATAACAACAACAACAAAAAAATGCACCCAACACACTATGCAACATTTATAACTAAATAGGGCAACGATGTCACTTTACACTACAATATCAAGCGCAGTGCACAACTTTAAGAGATACAGTCACCATGGTGCACTTCTTTTGCACTAATGACAAGCACTTTTTTAGTTTCCCATCACCAAAGACAATGGGTAGCTGCAATTTATTTGCATAGCCAGCAACTGAGCAGCCAAGCCAATTGTGACAGTAAATATAACAAATGCATTACAAAGTTCCACCTTAACTTCTGTTGTGCCATGCTGTACTAATTTTGATATGTGATCAACAATGACCGATTTTTTCTTCATTATTATAGTGGACTTTTCTTGCCAACATGTCTCAAATGTTCCACCACAAGTCAACTTGCTCCTACTTTCGCTGCCCAACGGGATGCACGCTACCATCCACCCAAACCCAGCATAGCGCCAAGAAAGTGCACTCATCCGCAGCAGTTACAAAAAACGGTGAAATTAGGTCAATGAGCTAAGCTCATAATTGGGAATTTTCACAGGAAATGATCGTACAAGTAGAGGTCCTCCACGACACGAGAGGTGTTAATGCAAAATCTGTATGTGACCGTATCGCCTAAATAGCCCAACTCGCCGCAGCTTGTCAGTATACGTGAAAATGGCGTTAGAGAACGGGATGGCAAAGAAGATAGACAAGCAAATGGTACTATTCTCTTCTACCTTACTAGTTTTTGGCACAGACTTCTTGCAGCCAAACTCAACATGCTAATTATCTCCCAATTGTTGCAGCACTCACAAATACTTGGAGAATGTTTAAGAAATACACAGAAGTATACACCTTGCAACTATTATTGTGAGAAAGTGCAGCTGTGTTTAGTTCAGCATGCTCAGTTATGTGTGTTAGGTTAAGTTCAGTACAGTGAAACACTGATATAGCCAAATTGTACCTTAAATTAATGTAGCTACATTACATACAGAAGTTTGTTATAAATGTATGTTAACTGCAATGTACGAGCGGGAGACCATCTTTCATTTGTTTCATTAAAAGTGACGATTAGTGACAAGCAGATTCGTTATACTGAGGTTTAAGTGAACTGTTGCCATTTATTGTTTGCACAAGGAGAAATGCTTAATGTAAACCTCACCTGCGAGACTACAGTGCTTAGACGAGGAAACCCCATAAGCTGAGGAAGGTCTGCGCACTGTGAAAGCCCAGCATGGGGTAGGCAATGAGGTGGAATGCAGACGGCAGTGTCAGCGTCAGGGGCAGCTCCCCTATCATTTTGGCCAGGTAGTAGGCAGACAGGCGGTAGGCACCCGACGCCCGTTCCTTGTTGATCACTTCGCGCTCGGGAGGAACTGAAAAGTGCACGAGGCGAAAAAATTCCCTGAGCATCATGGGAAGCAGCAGCAGCAACACAAACTAAGACAAGTTCTGGGTAAAAACTTTTCGTGCTCAAATGTTAGCCGAGTAGCAAGTGCGTCCTAGAAAATGTTGCATAAATATTGTGTTTATTACACATACGAAATCCTTGCTTAAAAACTCGCACCCGAAATCAAAGCTCCCGAAAAATAAGCAGAGATATACAAATATGTTTGAGCATGTTATTACCCTTCTAAAACCAGAATACCGACCATCCATCAGATAAACGAAACTGTGCGTCACTGCTCGCTTAACTGTCTTTGGCTTTCCCCTTGCGATATTTTCTGGATCAAAGCACCAGAATGGGCTGGTAGTTAGCCCAAAAACAGTGCTGATGTTTACAATACTGTATGCCATTTTCTTGGCGCTCTTATTTCGAAGATGCAAAATACCGCCTGCCACTTTTGAATGAAAGCGGCAGTTGCTTTGGCACTCAAGCTCGCACACTGCATTCGTTGCTGCCTGAATGATGGCATGCCGCTGCACATCGGGTGATTGCTTTCTCCATGAAAGACTGGAACTATGTTGAAAACCACACCTGTGCGATAAAAGTGTTTTCTCAACTGGCTGTTGCCTCTATTAGAATGTACGATTGGTAGGTGCTCTTGGATGACATCACAACTTGGAACACGCAGGCCTTAATGTTATGGAGATGTTAGGAGATGTTCAATTGGTGCTCCCAAGTAGGGGATGGTTCAAGCAATAAATTGCAGAAGGGCTTAGCTGCTGCATGTAGCGCAGAACACATAAGATGTGTTTTGTGCATTCACCTCAGAATATTGAGAGCAACATTGCACCTGCCACTTTCAAGTGTGCAGCCGGCATCAGCGCAACCCCCTAACTATTCTCATAGGCACTCGCGACACCTTTCAGACACCAATAGATCCAGCACGTGGATACTTGTGGTCCACGCAGATGCTTCCTTGCATTACCACGTGGAGTCATTACAAGTTGTGCTGCTTCCGATTAGGTTATTTCTAGCACTTATCAGTTCCTGCGATATCTGTCGATTTAGCTAAATCTTTCTAATGGGGTGTTGCAAGGCATTCTCACAAACAGAAGAGCGGGAAGAAGGATGAAACAGTGAAAGGAGAGCAATGAAGCACGCTACGACTGTGCAACTTGGAGACATACAAGTTTAACAGCTTTTGTGTCGATTGTAGTTTTCTACAAAGTTTTCCAGTCTTTCACACTGCCATTTTCATGATGCAAGTGTGCATAGACGATAAAACAAAACAGAAACACTAAAAGCTGTAATTGTAAAGTGCTAAAGGCCTCATTTATGCGCGAAATTCCATCTGTAAGTTGGGCTCTGTTATAGAACAAGAGACGAGCTTGAGACTACGAAATAAAGGGCATTGTATCTGTGATCAATCCCTTCTTGCTTCACACTGTTTTTTACATGCTAAAAAGTTTACTTTGGACTGATACCATGTCCAAGCATATGCTTCAGCAATTTAGAGTTAAGAGTTATTAACACTTATTCACATGTACATAGCGAACCTCTGAATCAGTTCTTATGAACTTGGCTATTACTAAACTTTTCGTAAACCCCACCCCATAAGCATTTGATGCAAACTTTTTGCGCTATAGCGAATCACATCGTACACGAATGCAAAAGCGGCAAGCGGCCATGCAGGATCTCCGAGGGGTGAAAACCACACAAAGAAACAGCAGACAAACAAAAGCACAAACAAGCAAAGGCATCACAAGCTGAACAAAAACAAAAGCGGGATTTTTTTGTTGTTGTTGCAGCCACATATATGGAATCCTTTGGTGTTGGGTAGGTAGGAAGCAGGGAAGAGGGAGGTAAAAAATATTCTTACAAGATATGAGTGCGCCAAACAACGCAAACAGCATCCAGTATGTTGTGCTGAAGAAGATCTGCAAAATAAAAGAATTGTTAGAGAGTTGCTAGGTTCCCTTCGTGTAGTACAATGGCTACTAATACAGGCGACAAAGAAAACAATGGTTGCTAGCACTATTGTATGAAAGATTCTTCAAGGCCTTATTACAGTTCAGCATTTTTAACATAGTAAAATTTTCATTTAATAGTACGAACATTACGAAGTATAACAAAGCTTTTCTGTTGCATTCATTTTCATAAGAATTCATGCATGTCCTGAAAACTATTGATTCATAACTGTAGAACAGCTGATAAGTCAGAGAGTTCAAGAGTCAACATACTTTCGGGTGATTTGCTAGGAACCTTGCATATTTTGTTCTTATATCAATATTTTGTATGAACAGATTTGCAATGAATAAAATTGAATTACAAGCTTTACTGGATATTTGCTGTTGCAGATCGTTTTGCCAAAACTAACATCACATCGAAACAAGGCTGTAGTAATATGCAGAATATGCAACGGGTGAACACACAAAAGAAACTGTAGAAGCTATTGTTGTGGTACTATAGAACAAACATGAAGGAAAGTGTACGTTTAAGGGCTGGTTTTCTTTAGTGAAACTCAATATTAATGAGATCTAATAGACAATAATGCCAAGGAGAGTATAAGGGATGGTATTAGATGTAATTGTAATGTAAATGTGAAGAAAGTATAAACATGTATGGCGCATAAACTGATGCAGTCTAAGATTTGTCGTATCAACTTCAATATGGGTGCAAAACATGCTTAAAATAGTGAACGCACCTCTCTTTATACACTGTTATTAAGAGATGGTGATATAACGTTAACCAGTATACAACTAATTGCACACCGATTCGAGACGGTGTTCTGCTGTTGGTGGGAAAAAATTAGGGGGATATTATTGAGCACTTACTAAAAAACAGCTAGTAAAAAAAAATAAAAGCTAAACCATTATAAAAAAAAAAATGAGCTGTACTGTTAGAGAAGGAAATTACAGCTGAAGGCTGATCAATGTAATGAGAATGAAAATAATCTTTCTGACCTGCACGAACCGACCTGACCTGTTACAAGTGTCCCAACCAACCGAACCTACCTGACCTGTCTTGACCGACTAGAAGTAGTTTATGACGATATACATATTATGACGTCTAATATGTTGGTGCCTTTACGAATTTGAGAATGTTGTTTTATGAAAATAAAAGAAAGACGGGGAGTAAAATGTGGTGCCAGATTCAAGCTACTTTGTTATTCCAAACTGAACATCTAACACCTAACCTCAACATTTCCTTGCTGTGGCCTATGAAATTATGAGGAACTGTTTCAAGAGTCCCAAAATTGTGCTGCTAATCATCTTTCACTCCAAAACTGTATGCTGGCTTTAGCAGTACCTTTCTATAGGTTAAGCGGACAATATTAGATTTTAGAGACGAAACCACCAATCTAAAGGTTGAATTATCAGCCAATCACTTTTGAAGATATCACTTGAATTCAAATTTACCTTGACCAACTACACAAGCAAAAATTGTTTATTCGAAAAATCATACACCTCTCCCGAGTTATATTTTCACACGACGCACCTCTACAGTGTGCTCAGTACACCAGTCCTTTCAATATGATGTCAGCCGGCAATCAAGCCTCAGAAAATGTTAAACACCGTCAAATATGATAAATATTTTTTTTTATAGTAAGTCAGAGACCCCAGACATAATTGTGCACGAACTTATGTTTGAGCTCTTTCCACAACAAAATAGCAGAAAACAACAAGCTCCAGATAAAAGTCGTAAAATGTGACATGCGACATGCTTACTAGATAACAGCTACAAGTTAAAAGAGAAGCCATAGTTCGAGACAATAATTTTTGAAGAGATCATAGTAATATTTTTTCAATGTGTGCAGATTGGCTAGTTGAGGAAAAGCGAGCAAAAGTTCCTTCTGTCATTGAACACAATATCTACGTCTCAAAGCAACATTGTGCCCTAAGGTCGTAATCTTGGAGTACTATGGCTCCTGGGTAATTGAAATATGTGGGGTGTGTAGTTGCTACTGTTACAAGAGGTGATACGCTGAATCATACCAACATGTAAACCAGGCTCGCATTTTTAATGTTCCCCAGTTGTCTTTCATACTCGAGCAATGCACGACACAAAGGTGCCGTCCCTCTAGCACAAAACTCTTCACCAAAAAAGGCGCTCACCCAGCCCCTGATGTCAGCAATAGTATCTTCGGTACGGTCCACTTGGAACCAGATGAGCCCACACACAATGCCCAGGCCAATGGTCTGAACCCAATTGAGCTTGGACAGCATGCGACCCTTGGCTTCGAGGAAGTTGCGTCGCGTCAACACCGACACTTGAGTCCAGAATGATGTTGGCCACTTCTGTTCGTGACCCAGGTCGTCCTGGCTGCTGAACACAGAGCTACCAACTTCGGACCACGATGAGCGGCCAGAGTCCTCATCGTCACGGATGGCTGCATAGCAATAGGCAGAAGACGTGAAATGTCACATAGAGTAATCTAGTCCTAATTTATGTCACCCATGTGTTTGAGCCTTTAAAACTTTCTTATCTGGTTTGTGCAAGCTTTTTTAACAGTACCACTATTTTGAGACTGGGCCAGAATAGTGAGGGTCCATGCCGCATGTCACGCTCGAGTTCCCAGATACACCCATAGATTGCATAACTGCTTCAGAAGCAAAAAAGTATTGGGCATACACTGAAACTGGGAGGGATGTCTCGGTCATGAATAAGGCCTAAAATGACTGTAGCAGGGACTGCTGAACAATTTTTTGTGTGCATCTCAACTCTATAAATAACGTAATCACAGACACCTACACAAAATCACAGAAAATGGCAAAGAAAAACAGTAGAACTGCAGCTCCACTGTTTCTGCAGCAGATTCCACACTGGGTGGAGCTGGCGTAAGCTTTTTTTTTTAGAGTTGGGAAATTTCTGTTACTGTATTGTGATTTTTGTTTGCTACCTTGCCATAGTTTGTTTTAAGCCAGGCTATATTTACTGTGTGGCGCTTGCCAAAGCGAGAAAACATGGTGGGCATCACATATGTTGTGACACACACACACAATTAAAAAAAAATACAGTGTGAAGGAGGAACCTACCCAAACTGCTATTCAGAAGTAACTGAAGGATGCTACTCTATAATTGAGAGTGGGCCAGATAGTGCTGATTCTAGCGTTGACCTACATAAGGCCAACGCTAGAATGTGTGGGATCCGTTCCCGTCGGCGTTAACAAATTGAATTGAAAAAATACAGATAAAAGCCGGAAGGCAAATTTTATCGCAATATTCACGAAGTGACTCCGTTTCTCAATGCTTCGGTTGCTTGAATTGCCTACGCTGGCTCATCGCCGGAAAGTCGGACAACTTAAATTTCTTTTTTTGTTATCAAAAGGACACCTTAATATTGAAACTATACCCTATCTTGTTTCAAGGCCTTCCAGCAATGTCAGATCATGCAATCAATTTGTGTATTCAGTTCCTAAATGCAATCTTGATGTGTACGCGTATTCCTTTTTTCCACGAACGATAAAAGAGTAGAATCAGTTGCCAGTACCGGTACTGAATTTGAAGAACATAAAAAGCTTTGAAAAGTGCATTAAAAATATTTCGAGAACATTGAGGGTTGCTACACTATTGTACATGTATTGCCATGTTGTTCGAAAATACATCGTGTAGTTGCTTCATATTCCATACTATACCACCATCACAATATATGTATGTACGTTTTTAATAACAGTGTTTGAATATTTTTCTTTTGTGTATTTAAAAAAAATTCAGTCTTCTATACAATACATTGTACTTGTTTTTGATTTGTGTTTACTGTACCCACCCTGTTGCGGCCATAACGGCCAACAGTATTTGGAAATAAAATAAATAAATAAATAACAATGAATTTTTTTGTTTTTCATTCTGCTAATGTAACTGTGAATCACACTGCGTAAGGTGCTTTAAATGCTTTATTCACCTCGGCCCACTCATTTTCTTTTTTCAAAAGCAATGCACTTAATGTCTTCCTGTTTCCAGTTTTAACACATCGTTTGAAGCTCTATTCTGGTTTTTAAGACAGCTCGTGCTGTAGCTGCACCCTAAGAAATATCCAACTAAACTGCCCACTTATCTCGATTGTATATGTGGGGTTTAACGTCACAAAACCACCATATGATTATGAAATATGCGGTAGTGGAGGGCTCCGGAAATTTCGACCACGTGGGATTTTTATTGTGCACCCAAGTCTGAGCACACAGGCCTACAGCCTTCTTGCTTCCATCAACAATGCTTTTTCACTTATCTTAAGTGGCTACCCGATGTAAACATGAGACAGCGATAGAATTTTAGTGGATTACCCTAATATTGTAGAGCCTCATCGATACACGGCCACTTCATATGATTTCCCAGGGAAAATGTTCATGGTATTATTATCAAGCTAAACTGCAAGGTGTTTCAGTGAATTGAAATCATATGAAATTCTGCTTTTTCACGAACTTTCTCAAAATCACGTAAATGAGCTTCACTGTACATGTAGTGAAAAAAGTTACCATCAATAGTTCCTTTACACAGTTAAAGGGATAAGTCGAGGAAAAGGTCATATAATATTCCCTAGCCCAATCTTTTTAAATTCTTAAATTGGAACTTTTTTTTCTTTCAGAATTACAAATTTGAATAGTCGACTTAACTCCTAAACATGGAAAGACTGCAAGGAAAGCACAGCACTAATATACACCAATGTAAGACAGGTAATTTGAAAAAAGTGAAAGAGCAGGGGGAAGATTGAAGTTTAAAGTGATGAACAATTTGAGCAGGGGGCGTCACTGGAGCCAACATTTCGACATGCAGTCTTGTCTTCCTCAAAGCTTCAACCTTTATGACGAAGTTGCAGCCCTAAAGAAGACGAGAGTGCTCGCGCAAATGTTCGCTACAGCGACATCCTGCATTCACAAATTTTTCGTACGACAGGCAGGACACATAAGAGAGACTGCGCACATGCATGATACTCGTGCCTCACCTATTTTGCTGTACACTGTGGGAATCTTTTTTCGGGGTCGAGCATCACTCGCAATTCAACTTGCTTGGACTTCTCTGCGCCCGGCTTGTCTTCTTCGGACACGGCCCAGACGTACTGCTGGTTGTCCCCGTGAAGCTCTTTGTGACACGAGTCCTCTTCGGCGTGCCTGCAAAGTGAAATACCGGCGACAGACCCACCGCAAAATAAGTTTTGAAATCCAGTTATACCATTTCTTCCAATATTTTTCTCTTTCTCTCGACACATCTATTGAATTTTTGTCCAAAAAACTAAATTTCGTGTAGCATCAGCATGGGCTGAAAAGCCTTCTCTATTGAGTGTTTCAATGCTTTTTCACATCATGAACTGTACGTATATTATAGCAAAAAGCAATAATGAGCATCTCAAAGTCATTGATTGAACGATATTACACTAGCTCCCCTTTCAACCTTTGTTATAGGTACATTTGATGAAACATATACATTTAAAGTATACTGACGACTGTGGCAGGTCCAGGCTTAAGAGAGCTTTAGGTGCTTGTACTCTAATGACGTTGATTGCCAAAAAGGAGCACAGAACTAGATCAATAAAACATATATGCAACGTTTTTTTTTCCTTTGGTTACAAATGATCAGCTATGAAGCTGTGTTTTGCAAAAGAAAAGTTCTACAAGCCTTCAAGTGCAACGTTGTCGCATCGAAGCTATAACTGATGCAGAACGTTTTCATCACAATCTATTGAGCGGAAACTCGATGCAACAAAGTGATTGGGATGCTAGAATCATTTAATTAAATCAGGAAGCACATAAAATCAAGATGAACTTTTCAGCTCTTCAAAATATAAAATTGTAACGTCGCAACAAGCAAAAGCTACCAGGCCATTGCACCTGCCACCGATTTACTCCCGCACATGTGTAAAGACCGCGGAGACGGCCGCGACAGGGAGCTTCCCATGTCGCTCGGACATAGGGAGCACCATTCCAGACAATGCGAGCCAAAAAGACAGTTACTTGTAGCAATGACAGGCGAACGATATGTGGATGATGCAGGAAATTAAGGTAGTGATTGCGGGAGTAGGCCAAGTCACAAAGGTGCAAGGAAACTTATTTCCTTGAAATCATGACACCAACTATCGCCACTTGTACTAGCACCTTCAGGTATATAAGAGTGCTACCAAGTGCTGCTTCCATTACTCTGTGCATGGGTGTGCCGTGCAGCCTGGTCAAACTAAGGCTATTAGTAGGGCACCTGAACGGTTTAGTGTGGAAACGTCGGAGTACACGCTCAAAGAAAAACGCGTTTCTGCAAAATCGAAAGAAAATCACTGCTTTTACTTGGATGTTCCTAAAGAAACTTCGTTAAATTGGGTTTGGCAGCCAACCTGGTTTAGTAGCACTAACAGCTGGGTGAGATGGTGTGGGTTCATGGTTAAGAACAGCGAAAGAGCACGAGACAATACGATGAAAACACAAGGAGGGGCACCGGAATTGAAACTCGTCATCAAGAGTTTCTAGAGTTGAGAGTTCGGCACCCGCCATTGTGTCTCATCACTGTCTCTCGTGCTCTTGTGCCGTTATTAACCACCAACCTAGTTCGTTAATTCAGGTTTATGATAACTCTGAACCCCATGAGTATTTAACAGTGAATAAAAATGTGCTCACTGGATCTGGAACTATGTAAAATTTGGTTTTGTTAGATCGAGTTTTAACCGTATTAGCAAGCATAGGTTCATTACACACTGATACGCGAGAAAGACTTCAAGTTTGCTTCGTCATAGCCGTTAGATTTGTTACATCCGTGTTCGTTGTACCGAAGTATCGACAAATGGCCATACTTGTGCTGGAAGGTTTTCCACACATGCTTGTGACACTGCGGGCAATTGACAACATTCGCCGCCGCCCCGTTGTAGTTGCACTGGCTCTCCACGTCCTCCGCACTTGGGTAGACCTCGGCATTCTCGAGTAGCTGCTTCGGGTAGTCCGGATGTTTTCTGTGTAAAGGCCAAATGCTCGGAGATCAACTAAAAGCATGAACATGAAAGCCGTTCTCTTCAGATTCATTAGATGATGAAAAGATTACAAGAGCAACTGAAAACAAAAGCTTATTCAAGTGCACAGTTCAAAGGAGTGCACCTACTAAGCAATGCTGAGACTTCGGGTCTCAAACCAAGTCATGCCGTGCAACATCAAGTGGGAACCAGAGAAGTGTTTTCATAGCAAATACACAAGACAGGCAGGATCCAATATGGTCTCGCATTGTGATTTAGCAGCAGTTCGACAGTACACTGAAATATGTGGTAGAAAATTATCACATTTTTTTAATGCCCCTCAAAAACAATTTAGGGGCTTCAAAACATACGGATATTGATAACCGAGCTAAGACATCTCGGCAAGGGACATATCAAATGTAGGCACATATTTCATACTTTAAGAGACTACGAGCACACTTTGAAGCTCCTTCTTTCTCTTTTGGTTCTTCGTTATTATAACCTTTGGTCCCTTTCTGAAAAATCAAACAGCCTTCTCATTAATACCACTTCCCTGCATAAAGGCAAGCAAATGCAGTTAGTCAAAGTAAGTAGGAATGGAATGTATACAGTCCATTATTCTATCATGACTGCTTGCAGCCATTATGGCTGCAAGTGTTTGGTAGACAAAGCCACAAACGCTGCATCTACCGTAGAGACTTTACAATGGAAAAATAGGGCTCGCACGTTCTTTTTTTTTCTCTCTCTTCTTTTTTGTTTTTTCCCCTTTTCTTTTTGAACTTCCTTTCAATTTTTCACCAGCTCAAAAAAGGGTTAGTATAGAGCCTTGTGATCATGCAAGCCCCAGCAAAAGCATGAGTGAATGTGACCTAGACTCAGTGGGGGGAGGGCTCGAATCCAGTAGTTGATTTGAGCAGCAGCAAGCTGACCATATCTGGACAGCAAATGTCATCTGCAATGCACATCATTCAGAATTAGGATGACAATTAGTATGTTCCAGCAGCTAAGCCCTGCGATTCGTGGGTTGCCCAGTCCACCAAAACAACGACTCTGCAATGGGAAGACGACAAGGTTCTCCACACGATGCAACGGTGCCATTTTTACAGCCGACAGTCAGGCATAATATCTTCCTGTGCACCGCTCATCATTTCTCGGGAGCAACTCATGGCTCACGAGAGAGATGCACAGTGCCTGTGGGACAAAACATGACATCCAAACATGAGGTATCACAACTGGGATGCGCAATTATCCGAGATCAGTGCGCAATATCAATACGACTCTGGCCATGCAAGGGTTTGTTGTTCCTAAGCAAGAATTTTAGCAGATATTTTGCTGATATGACACGAACTAAAGACTGTAAAAATGAAAGCAGGTCATTGTTCAGTGCTGCATTGACACATTTTATTCTGCAATTTTTGTACATAGAAATTCGCAAAATAGTTCATTGTTTCTCTAGATTGACCTCTAGCATACATTCACAAATTAAGTGTGTGGCCACAGGAATCTGGTAAGGAGTAAATGCTTTTGCCAATCTATTCTTCTAAAGCTTTTGAGGTCGGCAGCACATTTAACATGTGCACTCACACGCGCACACACAGATGGCATAACTGAATGAACAGAACTCGTGAGTAGAGAATGTCACGATGATAGTAATCGCCACTTATCCTTTACACATACTTACTTTAGTTCTTGTGCACTCATGATAATTTTGTCTTGGATATCCGGTGACCTCTTGACTTGTTCGACTGAAAAACGATGTTTCAGCCATCAGTGTTTACATAGCACATTATACAAAAAGCAACAAAGCAAGACAAGATGAGGATTGGCATCAAATATGTTTTTGAAGTTGCTTTCTTTTTTTCTCTAGTAGCTACAAACCTTACTTTCATGTTAGGAAAGCGTTCACCCTTCTTCCATGAGAATAGCTTACTAGATCAAAGACAACTTTAGGAGTCATTCAAAATGTAATACTGTAGAAGTTTGTGTGATTCAATGAATAAGTAAGGTTCCTGGCTAATTTAAATCTTTTATGCTTCCTCGTGTTGAAAAACTAAGGCTGATAACAGCTTATAAACAATACTTGAGGAGCTAAGATAAGCCCAAGCTCGATGTTAAAGCTCACATGCCAGACGGTCGATTTCGCAAAAAGACTCCAAGATAAAAACTCGCCACACGTTCAATGTGACAGGGTTATACATCCTTTCACGTTTGAGAGTTAGACATGAGCGCGAACATAATGGGGCTTGCCATATCTGCCGGTAAAGCAACTCGCAGTTCAATTTGCAGTATGCCTCGTTAAGCTTTGCACAAATAAATGTTCTGACACGTGGCCCTTCTAATCTCAGCCTTTTCTGCCCATAAAGAATTCAACTAATAGGTTCATACACAGATAGACAGTTTAGCATTTGAGTTACTTCGCGGACATCTGCGCCACATCTAAACAGAGCAATCAGTGATATCGCCAGGCAATGACTCCAGCTTGTACACGTAACAGCGATCAAAATTGGCTACAATTGTGTCAAGCTGGCAAAAATGAGATCTGACAAGAGACCAGTTCCCTCAGATTCAAAATGTGTATATGAAAAATTAATAAACATACTGACAACTATGCCCATTCTTTATATTATAATGATTACTGCCATTGCAGACATGATGGTTAAAATACATGAACAAGATTACTAGAATAAATGTCTTCAAGTGATTAGGCATGTGTTTTTTCTATCACAAAATTGGTTATGTGGCTTAAACAAAATAGAAAGTTTCGGTGCCAGGGCCTCAAAGTGGCCTACGTACGCACACTCTCACATTCCTTTGTATTCTCTGTGGTTGCAGCTGGGAGTACAAATGAACGCAAGAGCGTGCGCACGTGGGTGGCGTGAAGTCCCCAGTACGAAAACTCTTTATTGCATTATCATTGTGGGGGTGCAAAAAGCAGCGCAGGGAGGCCAAAAGCGCGAAACTTATGAGAGATGCCACACATGTCAGCCAAATGTCAAACGACCTGTTCAAAATTTGAGAAACACTAGGAGTAAAGTGTCAATTACAAAGACTTATCAGATGTATAAGGTGGTGGAACACAAAAAATAGCGACACTTACGGATGAAATCAGCCGGGTTGAAGTGTTGCTGAATTTGGAGACCTATGCTGCTGAAGAAGTCAACTACTTTATTGATGTCACCATAGTAGGCTGTCTGCAAGTCAAACATAGCATCGAGATGTCAGTTATGAAAATGGAATGGGGAAGGTTATCACAAAAACAAGCGGTATCATATGTTTCAGCACCAACCTGGCCGTTGCAGAGTAATAGAAGCTTGTCGAACATGTAAAATATCTGGCTAGAGGGTTGATGAACTGTGATGACAAGAGTCTTGTTTTCTCGGTGGGCGTACTCCTTCAACGTGGACATGAGTGAATGGGCTGTGCTGGAATCCAGACCTGAGGTGGGTTCCTGTAACAATTGAAAAAGTTTTTCTTTTCATTTCGAAGACACTACCAAAAGCCTCGTAGCAGCAGCATTCGTGAGGATTACCGTATCGCCGACGGGCAAAGACAATGCTTTAATGGAAACATGAGGTGTGACGATAGTTATAGCGCGAGAACAAAACGACGACACAGAGACAAGAAGGACACAAAAGACACGAAAGGTGTGAACCTCGCCTAATGGCCACACTACGATGCAAGTGGGAGATGATTTAGACTCCAACCATAAATTTTGAAGAAACCCGATGTCTTGAAACCGACTTAGTCCCTTCCTCAGGGGGTGACTGCAGGACTGCGATCCACGGCAAAATGAGAGAGAGAGAGGAGGGGTCATTACCCGCCCCGCGAGTGCTTTGAAGACGCCGCTGCTACGTAGCTTTGCAGTCACCCCTGAGGAAGGAACCAAGTCCATTTCGAAACGTCGAGTTTCTTCAAAACTCATGGTTGGAGTCTAAATCATCTCCCAGTTTCATACCCAATTAGACAGACTTCTGCCGAATGTTCACATTCAAGACGATGCAAGTATGTGCAAAAGTGCAATGTACGGTAACACAGTCGAGCATAGGCATTATGAAAAACAGTGCTAGCTATGGGCGTGTAACATAAATGAGTATCAATAGGAGTGCACATTGGGTCTAATTAATGACAAAGAATACTGGAAATGTGCCACTTGAAACACACGGACGGGACTGAAAGTATGTAAAATGAGCTGCTTTTCATAAAAATGTTACACTATGTGTACACAAAAATTAAACTCTGCAATTCTACATGCCGAAACCACGACATGGTGAAGCACACAGCAGTGGGCACGGAGACCAGAATAGTTTCAGCCAGCTGTGATTTTGTAACATGCACCTAAATCTAAGTACATGGGTGTAGTCGCACGTTGCCCCAACCAAAATGTGGCCACCTCGGCCCAGAATTGAACCCTCTTCCTCGAGCTTAGCAGTGCAACACTTTAGTCAATGCCGAGTACTCACGTCAATGAGCATGACAGTGGGATTCGTGAGCAGTTCGCAAGCTATGCTGGCACGCTTCTTCTCGCCACCGGACAAGCCTCGTTTCATCACGTCACCGATTACTGCGCGGAAAAAAAAAAGATGCGAGCAGGATAGACATGAGCACTGATGTCATTGGAGAGAGTTTTCGAAGCTCACTAAAAGAAATATTTGTATGCATAAAATTAAGTGGGAATGCCTTAGTTTACCCCAAGTATTAAATGTTCTCTTTCAGCACGTCTGAAGTTGTTTGCAGAACCCGGTATTGAATTTTTTTTTTAAGTGTTACGTACAGTTACCAGTTGGCATGTTTAGCAAATACACAATTTACAATTTAGTATGAGTCACTAAGATCAGAGTAGTGGCTATAAACCGAAGAAATTTCCTTCAATAGACCAATTTTCTAGGAAATTATAGGGTCTAACATCCTGAAGACACATAAGGGCTAGAAGGTGCTGTAGTGAAAACAACAGCGCTATAATTCCAGATTTTGTTCTTTACAGTACCTATAATATTAAACTGAATTTTATTTTCACCAGCATTCGCTTATAACATACCAAAGAAAAAGCTATACCACTACTTCATAAAACGCTCCTCTGCTCCTCTCTAGGTAGGTTGGTGCAGGGGTGGATTCAGCCACTCATTTCGCTTTAAGGAAGATCAGAATGTGGAAGGATTCTCAACTTTTTTTTAGCAGTTGCTACTATCACAAGAGCCACATAACAGCATAAATGCCTTTAATTTGTGCTCACAGGGGTCCCACTCACTTATTCTAAATGGTTTTTAATCATAACAAATTGAAGAATTACAACGAACTATGGTCTACCACACTTTAGACTTTGGCACATTTTGCTGTTCTAGGCTTTTGTTCGGAATGGTGTTGAGTGGCTGGTTGGAGGCGCTGAAGGAAGTCCCTGGGGGGGGGCGATCACCTTTACTACTGCACTCTGGATTTGCCACTGGTTGGCCAGTGCCACTCAAGCTATTTGGCCAGCTTCTTCTACGTCACTGACCCTGCTGTTGGTCGCAAATGAAAGTCAGTTCAAGATTTGCATTCGCATAACACTTCCTTCTGCTACAACTTCAGTGTCACTCAGATAGCATAGAACTTAACAAACAGCTTCAAAGCTCACTGCAGCCCAGCCCCATAACATCACAATGAGCTGTCACGGCAGGGGCGTGATGGCATTGAAAGATTAGAACATTATCTCCCCCAGCCACTCACTATGCAGAAATGTATTTGAGTTTTTTTATCAGAGAAAAAAGTTATAAAAACAGAGCGATGGACAACAAAGACAAGCACCTGTACAGTTCATAACTCTGGAGCAAAGGCTGAAATCGAATATCAGCATGACGAAACCTGCAACATGACTGTAAGGACAGCCAGTGTCTGAAGGTATAAAATCAGTTTCCCTCTCCTTCCTTGTGCTTTAAGAAGGTGGGGTGTGCTGTCTTACTTGTGTCTTGACATCTAGAGAGGTCCAGGACGTCGATAATTTGGTTGACGTGCTCCATCTTCTCATGGTATGACATGCTTTCAGGAAGCCGCAGTAGTGCTGTGTACTGAAAAAGAAAGCATTTCGTTTTTTTTTCAGAATTGCACATTTCACATAAGGAAGAGGAATTTGGAACCTATCTATGCAAACTTTGAACACAATGCATTGAGTCTTTCAAATGCTCTATTGAATACTTCAGAATGCAAGTTTTACAGAAGCTTGTTAAACATACTTCATGGCTAGCCGAAAACATGCGTTTCATTTGCACTAGGCTTTTAAGACTGTTACTCGTATTTAGGATGTGCTTAAACATGCTCTTCAAAAAGCTTCTGCCACCATTATTGTTTAGTAAGGCATGAAATATTAGACACCTCATTGAGGTTTCTCAGTGCATTACTGAAGCATGATGCCCATATGCTTTATTGTTTTTGTACAAAATTTTTTTTATTTATATTTATGATATATAGACATGCAAGAAAACATGTGTTTTACAGAAGCAGCGTAATTTACATAGCTGCATAATTTTCCCAAAAAGCTTATTTGACAATCACTTTTTGTTCATCATGCAATAGCTAATATTAATTGCACCTATATATGCACTTTTCCAATGACTCCTTCCATCTTACAATATTTCAGTTGAATTCAAGACTGGCTGTATTTGAACTCTAATAGATAAAAAATGAGTACCAGGAATGACATAAAAACAAACATGGAACAAACGTAAACGCGTATATGGGAACAATCGGTACGAATATACATTGGCATACGTACAAGGTATCACTGCAAATTGTGCTATGGCACATGTTGGATAGCCACAATATTTTTCTTCAGCAAAGCAATGGTGAAGACATGCTAACACAATTATGTCTACTTTCATCGAATGTTGAAAAAAAGACCTCGGAAATGATGACACAAAAGAGAGAATGCCCATTCCACCAGAGTAGAATAGCCAACAAGCACATGCCTGGTTAACCTCTCTGACTGTTCTTGTTGTTCTTCTTCCTCCTTGGGAAAGAACAGCTATTTGGGCTAGTTGGTGGAATTCCATAGTAGTAAGGGTTGCAGTTCGCTGTTAAAAAGTTTTGCCTGTTTGTATATATCAACGTGTGTGCTGCGAAAAATGAAGTCAGTTGGCAGTCAGCGCTGGTGTTGTCCTCTTTACCTTACATTCCTCCCCTTCTGTTTGCCTTTCTTCCAGCACTTTTGTGCCTGTGCTGCAACCCTTACTACTCCTCCATGGGCCCTAGCGCTGTTTTTCTTCTTGAATTTCAGTAATTCAGGTACCGCCCTGCTTGATTCAACACTACAGTACAGTTTGCGGCAACATGCGTGACAACCACGTTAGCAATTTGTCAAAATTAAGCAGCATACAGCGCTTAAATTCAACTCACATTGAGTGTCTGCCTGAGTGTAAGGTCTGGGAAGAATATGTCTTGCTGGAGGACATAACAGATACGCCTGCGGAGCTGCTTGTTGAGTGGCTCGCTGTTCAGGAGTACAACGCCAGAGTCCATGCGGATGCGGCCAGCCAGGGCATTGAGAAGGGTTGTTTTCCCAGAACCTGCATGGGCACCGAAAGAGTACAGGGTCAATCGTACCCTTCCATCAACGGCTTAGACGGCACACATATTTGACCAATTAGGACACTGTGAAGCGAGTACAGATCATCGTACGTTTAATCCCAAATGTTACATTCAAATATTTCTCATAAAGAGCCAAAAAAAACGTTATCGCATGGCGTTCGGTGATGGCATTATGACATTATCATCGGCATCAATGCTGGACACATCAAGTGACCATGTAAGTCATTATTACAGTAATGTCCATGTACGTGACATCTTTACATCTATATCAGCAGGTGATGATGTCATACAGCTACAAGACGATCTCATATGATAAGATCATACTTAACTTGCACAAATATTGCCAACTTACTTCATTTCCAATATGCTGCGCACAGCCAAGAAAAAAATGAAACGTGAACACAGAATAGTAAAGTGATTGCATGGAATAGTGAAGCGTTATTGCCAAAGACTGTTTCAGCCTCGAATCAAGCGAGGAAGCTCAAATTGCATTTACATTTGCGCATGCTTGCTGTAGCGAAAACGAAAGTACGCGTTTTAGGTCATTCCTAACTCATTCGTATTTGGATTTTCTCCTACCGTACACTCACGCGACTCCTGCAAACCAAGTTGCTCTGCCACACAACAGCCTTGTCAAGCAGTGAAACACCCTTGCTGTTCTTGCGCGTCGGCTTTTGCGCGCTGCTACGGCAAGAAGTGTTCCCGATGATGCGACACAACAGCCGTTCCCACAATACGCAACCCGTGTTCGAGGAAAAGTACACGCACCACGAAAATTTTACGGGTCATCTTCGTGCAAGGCTATTGTAATGGTGGACCCACGACAATTGCTCTCCGATCATACTTTGAAGCTGAAGAAGGAAAGAGGAGAACTTGAGGGCTCACTTTTCCGTTGGATACAACCTAATGAATCCAAAAGAGAAACAAAACATTGGGGACATTGTTTGTTGCTTTGAACTGCATTGCATTGTTAATTTAATTATTCATGAAAAAAAGCATGGGAAGGTAGCCTACGTTGGGGTCGGCTATCACATCAACATGACAACAGCGTAGTAACAGCATACAAAAACAAGAAAAGCTTGTACAATTAAAAGAACAAGGAAAGCTAAAAATGATCAGGCGCACTATTTATACATATACGATTAATGGAGTATAAAGAGAGAGCAGAGTCTAAAGGCATAGTCCTAAACATTGAGGGTGGTCATGTAGAGATAATACCACGATCCACACAGATCGCGTAATAATTATAGCATCATTGGCAATGATCACAACCACACATACATTTATATTCACAAGTTTATCAGCGCCTGGTTTCGCCGCTGGCCATACGCTGGCACAACGCACATGAGACTTCAAAGGTAGGACCAGAACTTTCGAACATCCCCCATGGGTATGGGAGCATCCCGAATACATTTCGAGGATCCGTTTCGGGGCGAGTTCAGATTCCCTGAATTACCGGATATATCGAAGCTTATTTGGTTTACAAGAAGCTCGCATAGCGTTAATGTGACTGAGGAGGCGCGGCACCAGGCAAACGACATAGAAAAGTTGAGGAGCGTCCACATCCAGAACTTCTCTGACGCAGAGACTACGCAACGAAAAAATTATATTGTACTTTAAAAGAGTAACAACTGGAACCTGTTTGTATGGATTCATAGTAAAAACAGCACGGTTATTTTCTCGTATACCCGCTGTTTTTTTTTTTTTTGCGATGAAATTTCTATTAATTCGTATCTGGATTGATCGCAAGGCCGAATGCATCGAACTATTGCTGGCACAAAGAAGGGACTGTTCGTTAAAACCGGGTTACAGCTATTTAGGTGTATGAGGTGCTGCGGCCCCAGACGCAACACACACACGCTAAAGAGCTTTTCCGCGTTTCCAGCGCTCTCCTAACCACGAGTGTTTTTCTTTTCGCTCGTGAAAAAAAAAGATAACAAAAAGAATACCGAGGTATAACTAAGGTGGTGGTCTGACAGCGCAGGTCGACAACCCCGACCCGCGAAAAAAACGCAACGGAAGCGCCCTTAAACAAATACCTTTTTCAAAAAATAAAAGGGTTCCGCGAAAAGGACCAGGAAGCCACTGGTCGAAAGCGAGACGTGGGAAAATGGAACTCTGGCTAGCAGACGACACGAGAGAGGAACATAAGCACACGCTCGTCGTCTGGCAATGCTTACAGAAAGCAGACGAAACTCGTTCGGCGTTTTGCAAGAAGAGCAGACGACGCGCTCCGATGCCAACAAACACGTGCCCTGCGTGTACAACACCCGGTGTTCTGTAACGGCCGCCACCCCGCTTCATGGGAGACCAAACCTTTCGGTACATGGCCAGCATCAGCTAGCCTTCCGTGTTTACGCTCCTTCACTTCGAAACGTCTCACTTTACCAACAAGAAGCGAGTCACTTTTCTTTTAGTTTTTCGTTCACCCCGCGAGTCTCTCTTGTCTTTCATGCGAGCTGACTGTGTCGAACACGTGTGCTTGCCAGACAGCGTCAGCAAGCTTCCATCAATAACGACGGTGACACCCCGCCCGCCGGAAGAGATTTTTTTTTTTTTAAGCGATAGACCCTCGGTGTTTTTGACCCGTAAATGCGCGCTCCCTTTAGAAGCGCCACCGAAAACCGGGTTACAAGTCGCAGGCTACCACATCAAGAAGGGTTCGTTTCGGTTAACACCACACCGGCGGTGTTTCCGGGAAAGCGTTCGGAAAAGTCCCACGGTACGTTATGTATTTGCCACAAGACGACTGGAAGACGAAGGCCCTACTAATCTTTTTTTTTTCTTTTCAGCCTATTGTGTTGTAGAAGGCAAACGCTCGAGGGTGATGCAGAGTTAGGCGGGCAGACGAAATGAAATGCTATATAAGGTGTTACAGCGATCCGTCTGTTTCAGTCGGTTTTATACCGTTCCAGCACCATTACCCAACCCTTCTGGAGATTCAACAAGTCTGCGGGACTAGCATGACCGAGCAGAAGATGGCGAAACACGGGAAAGGCCTTTTCCCTGCAGTGGGCGTAGTCGTACTGATGACGATTCTGATATCCTAATCAGTGACATAAACAGCCAGAAATGGACGTAGCACTTACGAGCACGCGTACAGAACAGTCTACGCCACACCACGAGAAAAAAGACAGACAGAGACGGAAAACGTGTTTTAGCGGAACACCCGTTCGGCACGTGCACATCTGTTGAGGGCTTCAACGAGCTGGTTTGTCAAGGCGTTGCCTTCCGCAGGAAATAACGCGATCATACGACGCGACTAATATCGCATCTGCGACCCCGGTCCGGTTCTTCCAAGGTCAGAACAGCGGACGCACCAACGCATTCGCTTCCACCCTTCACTGGTCCTGTGGTTTAGCCGTTCAAGTGCGCGTTAGAAAGAGATTATCTTATCTATGGCTAAGATGGACGCTACGTGGTAACATGCACGAAACAAGTGCGGCGACACCGCAGGCGACACGTGGCAAATGTACGCACACTGCCCCCTGCTTCGAAACGAAGTGTTCGATCAGTGCGCTATGCGAAAAAAAAAATGAACAACTTTCGCGACCGTACGTCTGCTGAACGGGGCGCGGATAACGCACGTGGTTTGCACGACAGACATATGGGACACACATACGCGCACCGGAAGTATGTCAGAGATCTTTGACAGGCACGACTGATTATATAGAGACAAGCGTTTGTCGTCCATGTGCGACAAGCTCGAAGTGCTAAACGGATCCACCCGCTGGAGTGTTATCTAGCGTGGTCAGCACCGGAAACTCGCCTCTACTTTCGCACCACCCCTATTTTCTGCTCTCTTCTCTTCACGCCAGAATCGAGAATTTTCCACGCTGCTGGACGGCAGATATAGCACGAGAACAGAAGGACGACGAAGGGACAAGAAGGAGACGAGCCTAACCACCACACTGCTGGACGGCCCCGTACGCTCGAATGCTGAAACATGATTGTCATTGAAGTTGTTCGTTACAATTGTACGTGAGGGGAATAGTTATTGGTACCAGCAGCTGCCGACGTTTTCTTTGTGTCGTATATTAATTATTTAATCCATTAATCATTTCCGTGTGTCTGCCTGAAAACGTTACTGGGCCCTATGCAACACTACTACTCATGCAAACGAATGTCAAGAACCGTTGCAATGCAGGTTAAGAGAGAATAGAATTTGCAAGTACATTTTCTGCTAACATTGGTATTACTACGTTAGCACTTTAATGTACTACAGTGAGTTGTTGCACTTCTTCCTTTAGGTCACTATAAAATGGACCATTTGCAGCTCGGCGGTTAGCAAAAAAAAACTGCAATTGGGTTTCTAACACGAAACTGGCTCGGCGTTTGTACGTTTTTACAATTATCAAACTCGAAATTCACGCGTGAAACAATGTGACATATTGCGGCAGCCTGTGAAGCTCAATAATGCAGACATCGTGAAGGAACTTCAGAAACGTGAATGAATTCAGCCTTAAGCATTCTTTTAAAGGGTATACCCTCTTCGGAAGCACCATGCGCAGTGCCCTACTTTTCTCCTTAATTAAATATGGTGACATGCTAGCAGGCTTTAACAAGCCGGCCACACGTGACGGCCAAATTAAGAGCTGCCCCTTCCGGGCGTCCTTCACGGAATCACTTAGGCTGGATATGTGGCGCCACATCATGGCCTAAACGGGTTACTCAGTACACAAGATCTTCGAGTTCCGCCTTCATCGAAACGAGGGTTGGGGAAACGAACCGGCGACCTCTAACTCTGCGGCAGGGCGCCATCATACATCCACCACGAATGGCCAGGATGAGCGCTTAATGCAGGACACAGGCGCGAGAATGTTCGCACCAACACCTCTGTCGGGATGGTCCGCGATAATGAGTGCTAGCACAACAGCAACTTGGGCCAGTTGGTATAACGGTTTATGCATGGTAAATGCAAAAAAGTGGGGCGCAATATACGGAACAAATACTTCTCTATTCGCCCCATTTTCTGCAT